CTCCCGGACGGGCTGGCTGAGGATGCCCGAGCCTCTGCCCACCAGCTGTCAGCACAGTGTGCCTCCAGGGTAACACATTTTCCACCACACTATTGCGAATTACCATTCTTTCAAAGCACGCATCAAGTACTGTAACATCGACTTGTAAATTCTCCATCCCTAACTCATGTTTTCATGTAAGTTAAAAACATATGCACTGACATGCATATAGCATATATAAAGAACATAATATGAAAGCAGCAAAGAGGATATGGATAAGATTTAAATAAAGGGGAACTGTTCTGGCAAACGCTAGTCCATCTTCTTTTCTAAACACGTATTTGCAAAATATTTTCAAAAGATTATATGACTGATTATGTGCAAAGTTCTCAGTGGTCTCGATCCACTGGTTTGGTAGTTTCAGTATGTTAGCTTAAAACAAGTTTTTTAACTCTCAATGTGAAATGTGAGCTAATTTTGAACCACAGTAACTTAAATAGGCCATATGAAGATCCCCATATGAAAAAGAAAATCACTACAATTCATCTTTTACTCAAGCAAAATTTAATTTCCCAATTTAAAAAGTATAGGACCTTCTGGAATTAATTATGTGACCTTTCATTAAAAGGTTACAGGCTGGTCCCATGGCCTAGGGGCTAAAGGAGCTGGATTGTACAAGGCAAATACAGTTCAAATTCCAGCTCTGGTGTCCTGAAAATCACACTGCATCCATGTTCCAAATCCTGACAAGCTACAGAAAGGCAGAAGGGGCTGCCGCATGCCCGTGCCCCACTGGGGGGTGCTTTTCTCCCTTTCCCTGTCTCTCTCTCTGGTGAGCACACATAACCTCTGGCCAATTAAAAAAGGAAGAGGGTGCCAGCTGTCTTCAGACAGAACACTGATACGGTGGACAGACATGCATATTGGAAATACATGGTACACAGACAGCAACAACTGACGCATATTACTCTTATGTCTGAGCTTCAGTCAAAACAGGAACTTAAAAAATTCATAGAATCATGCATCCCAGGTAAAATAATGATTCAAAATGACAGGAAATCAATTTAAATAATTAAGAAATAGCAACATTTTTTAAATGCTTAGGGTTGAGCACCCATATAATTTAGGATGGGTAATATAGAAGTCTAGAGGAAATCAGTGTAGAAGTTAATGATTAAATAAAGTTCTCTTTAGCAACAATAAAACGGCTGTGGAATTTTGGTTAATTATATCTAAGATGCTAGATATTTTACTGTGGCTCTAGGAAGTGACATTATCACATAAAGTGATCAAAATCATCTAATCCAATAAATATAATGCCGCTGCAGGTGAGCCAGAGGGCCACACTGACAAATTACTGAGAAAGGAAGGGCCATCCCAGGAGCGAGACCTAACTCCACTGCTGGTACACCGAGCCACACCATCAATCGTACTCGGCTGTGGGCCCTCTTCAGATATGGGGGAAATCTTCGCTGCACTGGACAGAATGACTGTGATCCAAAGGAGGGTTTATCTCTCGTAGTTAGGCTAAGGTTGAGGGGAAACCTGGCTTCTATGACAAATTAAGAATACCAAATGTGTCTATTTCAATTCTGAAGGAAAAAATTCACTAAAACTCCACTCATAAATCAGAGTGCAATGTCCACAGTTTTAAGAGTCTACTCTGGTGCTTTACACTTCAGTCAGTTACTCTTCAACCAACAAACAGTAGTATACAGTTTTCTAGGTGCAAAACTAAACAAATGACTTCAGGAAGGCTACTCATGTAAGAATCTTCAACACAAATTCAAATTCTGCCTTTATTTACAAAATGGTCTGATAAAATATCCCCCCCATACTTACAGGTCTCTTCCACAACACACTTCACACGGTGATTTTAGCAATGTTAATAGCACCATTCGTATATTATTGAAAATCAAAAAGATTTCATTTCAGTCACTGCGTTGATTCGTAATCATTTACATCCATGGATGCGGTGAGTATACTGGGACTACCTGCAGCTCCACGGTAAGGGTTCCTGGGTCCAGCACAAAGGCTCTGCAGTTACCAGTTATGAAAGGTCTCCATGGTGAGCAGGTACTACGAAAATTTTCGGGCCACAAAGTTTAATAATCCTCCGTGTCTGTACAGTGTTATTTCCACATCATTTTCAAATGAAGCAATCACGCTGAATACTTTTCCAGTACTTGTCTTGAAACAAACAGAGACATGTCATATGAGTGGTAAAATCTCCACATGTTACTTAATGGTTAAGACCATCTGTCATCACATTCAATGATTCCATGTGCCACACGTCCTGCCTGGCTTCCCAGGTTCTAATTCCTATATTCTGACTGCCTGAAACCCTTCTGTGGCTTTGAAATCCCTGAGATATCTGGCAGCAACCTTCCAAATTAAGTGGGAAAACACAGTATTCTTCCCTGATCCTACACGAGGTACTCAAGTACCCTAGAACATGAAATCAAAGGGACTGAGATTTTGACTAACACTCACAGCTCACACTCATTTCACCTGATTTTCCTGGAGTAATCAGCTCCCTCCCTCCCTCCCCCCTTCTTTTCCTTTTACTTGTAAGGCCTGTGGTACTTTAACCCTGAATGCTCAACCTCTGCCTTTTCTTTGGAGCAGCGCATATAAATCATTTCACTTGATTTTCATGGAGTAATCAGCTCTCTCATTCTCTCCTCCCTCCCTCCCTCCCCCTTCTTTTCCTTTTACTTGTAAGGCCTGTGGTACTTTAACCCTGAATGCTCAACCTCTGCCTTTTCTTTGGAGCAGCGCATATAAATCAGCACATAAAGAGCTGAAAACTAGCAAAAGAAGTGAACTCATTCCCATCCCTTCTTTTTCTTTTTCAGGGCTAAGCATTCACATCTTCCTATTTTGCGTCAGAGAACATGAACTATATCAACACAGGTTTGGGTGAGCAGGAAACAGCCACCTGAAACGACAACCTATGTTCACGAATGTTGGTATGCAACTGATAGCAACTGCTGCTTACTCAGATTACTTACGACCAACTACTTAAACAGCGCACCTTCACCATTTGAGAATTCGAGAGATACCTTTATATTTAATGTAACTCCAGGAGACAGCTCTTCAGGAAATGTTAGAGAAAATGTTTCTCTGCCAGAGAGGCCCAAGGAGTCTGCATTTTCTCCTGGAAGGAACTGAAGTGGAGCTATGCCGATTCCAACCAAATGATCTTTGTGTATTTTTTCATAACTCTCAGCCAAAACAGCTTTCACACCCTGTAATAAAAGTACATTTTATTTCTTATAATCACTTCCAAATTTGATTTGTTGGATGTTTTAAAAAAAATTATTCAATTTTATTATTTTTTAAAGAATTATTTAACTTAGTTAATTAGTTTATTTTTATTTTGACCAGAGAGGGACAGAGCAAGACAGTGAGAGAGGGGAAAAGTGAGAAAGCAAGCTGCCAGGTCTGGAACTTGAACCTCGGTCAGCCATGTGAGAGGCCAGCATCCTTAACCACCATGCCACCTACTGGCCCCAATGATTATTTTTAAATTTGGTATAAGACACATGCACTCACCAGAGAGAGAGAGAGAGAGAGCATGTAGGATATAAGGCGGGAAAGCGAGCCACTAGGTCTGGGACTCCAGCTCAGTGGGCCATGTGGGAGTGCAGTGCCTTAATCACCACACCAGCTGCTGGCCCAATGTGCTGGGCATTTAAAAAGTGGGGAAAAAACTACTTTGGTGTTTCTGTAAACACTTTTAATTTAATCCCCCATACTGAGGTCAATGCAGTATCCAAAGTACGCAGAGAAGCCACTTCTAGATTATTTTTCTATTGTACACTGGTAAGGAGTTCCCCAAACTACCCCGCCCCTGTGTGCCATTCCAGGGCTAAGCTGTGCCAATGCACACCGCAGCATAAGGGCTCTCTGAACGAGGAGGGCTGCTTCAACTGCGAAGAGGGCTCAGCAGATTTCTAATGAAACATGGTAGCTTCAACAGAAGCATTCAACACTCTCTCTTAAATCACTCACTGAACTAAAATTATAAAGGTATAAACCTACAGCAACGAAGGAAAAAGGATGAGAGGATTCTATAAATACTTAGAAGGTAAAGGAAGGTAACTGACACAGCAGACAATACAGAAACTACAGAATTATAAATTGAAATTAGAAAGCGGTACCAATGAAGCCTGAGTGATCTGTAAAACAGAACCCTTGGAAGTATGAGGCTCAGAAGCATGAGGTTCTCACAACAGTCAGCAGTGCACGAAAGCAGGACTATCACTAGCTCAGTCCCCACTCTAGACAAAATGAGTTAGCGAGGCTCTAGACCCTGTGTGTTTCTCAACTTTTATCATGAACTAAGGAGCCCTTTAAGAAATTTTTTCCTTAATCACGCCTTCCTCTTTACCTCCCATCCCTCGGAAATTTGAATCCCAGGAGTGAACCGTATCTGTTCATGTACTCACAGAGTTAATACTTTTTATTTTATAATAACCTATGTACTGATTTTCACTTCTTGGGAGTGCTACTGCCAAACTGAGAGTGCGTTCTTTAGACCAAGAAACTCTGGGTAGAGGGGAAGCGCAGGTGATGAGACCAAATGGAAATGCGGATTAAGATGACACTGGAATCCTGACCAAGCCTCTTCCCTTAGAAAACTCAATAGCCTCAGAAAAGATCCATACTGGTAATGATTCAGACTTTCTCAATAGAAAAAGGCAGCCATCACTGAATCGGCTACAAAGACCCACTAATTGATCCATAGCTTGTGATCAGTTTCTTTCTTTTTTTAATTTAAGATAAATATTTTTTGCTATAGGGCACGTACACTTGCTGGAGAGACAGGAGACAGACAGAAAGTGAAAAATCCCCCTCTGGGGGGATGGCCACACCACAATCCCTTCTCTTCCACTCTCCTCCTGGGATTTTTGGGCATGCATGCACATGCACCTGGTGTGAGTTTCAAGCCTCCAGGTCCAGGACTTGAACCGTGGCTGGCCATGTAGGAGTCCAGCACCTTTACCACTACACCACCTTCTGGCCCCATGATCAGTTTTTTTAATAGCTAAGTGGTAGAGAGCCAAGGATCATTCACTATATAAGGATAGCCTCCAATGTAAAAAAAAGAAAAAAAAATCAAGATAACTATTTAAAGAATTATTTATTTAACATCAATTATTATTGTTATTATATTTTAGAGAGATTTTTACTATAGGGCACGTGCACTGGCCAGAGAGAAAGCGAAAAATCACCCCCTGGGGGTATGGCTACACAGCAATCCCTTCTCCTTCATTCTCCATGTGCGAGTCCATGCTTTAAGCACCATGCCACATGATGGTCCAAGATTCAAATAATTTATTTTTGAGAGATTTTTGCTCTAGGGCACATGTGCTTACTGGATATACAGAAAGCAAGAAGTCACTCCCCAGGGGGATGGCTATGCTGCAATCCCTTCTCCATTTCCTCTGCAGGATTTTGGCCACAAATGTGCACGTGCCGGACGTTGAGTTTCAAGCAGCCAGTTCCAGGACTTGAACTGCAGACAGTCATGTGGGAGTCTAGCACCTCAACCATTATTCCACCTGCTGGCCCCAATAATTTTTAATCTTATGGCGCCAACAGGTGATGTGATGGTTAAGGCGCTGGATCCCACATGGCTAAGTCCATGGTTTGAGTCCCAGACCTGGGGGCTTAGAAAACATGCTGGGAACATGTGTATATGTGCCCAAAATCCCAAGAAGAGAATGGAGAAGGGACTGCGGTGCAGTCATTCTCCCTAGATGTTGATTTCTCACTTCTCTCTGCTTCTCTCTGGTGAGCATGTGCCCTATGGCGAAAATCCTAAAACATTAAAAAAAGACTGTAATAATTTTCAGAACTAAAAAAAAAAAAAAAAGCTATAATATTCACAAGACTTACACTTAATTATCTCAGAAAGAGGAGAGAGTTGGTTTGTTCCTAACACTCCTCTGATGAGAAATTAAAGGCCCAACCATGATGGCATAGGTGGTAGGGTGCTGCCATACAGCATTGGGCCTTAACATGCCAGGTGCACCACAGTCCTGGCCACCTGGGAGGCTAGAGGAAAGACTGCCACAGCACAAGACCCTGTCAGGGGCACATCTGTCTGTCTCTTTCGTGAAATATTAGGTTGTTGGAAAAGTCATGACCCTTTTTGCATAAAGAAACGCAGAAAAATAAGCCATGACTTTCCAACAAACCAATACATGAAATGAATAATCAGTTTGTTTATTATTTATTTTTAAGGAGAAATGAACCATCGAAAAATAAGAAGTTTGTACCCCAGGCTCTGAGGATTGTGTTCTAAGCAGCCTTTCTACAGCTACAACTGTAAAGGGAAGCGCTTGTGAGTAGGAAATGCAGAAAGCTCAAGTCACATGTCCGTTCCCTCCAACAGGCGGTCTATTTGGTCTGCAACAAAGAAAAAAGCCACAGGATCTCTTTCGTGAAATATTAGGTTGTTGGAAAAGTCATGACCCTTTTTGCATAAAGAAACGCAGAAAAATAAGCCATGACTTTCCAACAAACCAATACATGAAATGAATAATCAGTTTGTTTATTTATTTATTTTTAAGGAGAAATGAACCATCGAAAAATAAGAAGTTTGTACCCCAGGCTCTGAGGATTGTGTTCTAAGCAGCCTTTCTACAGCTACAACTGTAAAGGGAAGCGCTTGTGAGTAGGAAATGCAGAAAGCTCAAGTCACATGTCCGTTCCCTCCAACAGGCGGTCTATTTGGTCTGCAACAAAGAAAAAAGCCACAGGAGAATGTCCTCTGGCAGACAGCCGGGCATCATCACCTCCTGCTTGGGGAGAAGACAGGTGAAACTTGTCCCTCTACCTTAGTCTCCTGAGTCCTGATCGAGATCATCAGAGAAAATTCAATGAGGAGGCAAATAAAACCACCAATGGGTACAAGTAACTATTACAAAATAATAGTTAAATCAGACTCTTTCTTCCCTTTACCATATCGAGTTCCTAACATAAGACTGATGCAGTTTTAATCAAATTCAGTGTACTACAATGAAAATGCAACTAGATGAGATGAGGGCAAGCCGGGTGGCGTGGTGGTTAAAGTGGCTGGATCTCACGTGGTCAACGGCGCGGTTCAAGTCATGGACCCTCCAGCTTGAAAATCACACTGGGAGCATGTGTGCCCAAAAATCCAAAGAGGAGAATGCAGGAAGTGGGATTGTGGTATGGTCATCCCTGTAAGGGGTGCTTTCTTACCTCTCTCTCTCCCTCTCTCTCTCTCTCTCTCTCTAGCACAAGCACTCTATATCAGATTAAAAGGAGAAGAAGAAAGCAAGAAACTGGACAAATAAAAAATAGTATCTAAAGATCACACACACAAAAAAACAAACAATAAATACGGGGTTGACAGGTGGCGTGGCGTGGTGGTCAGGGACGCTGGACTCCCACATGGCCGACCATGATTTGAGTCCCAGACCTGGTGGCTCGCTTTCTTACATCCCCTGTCTTTCTCTCACTCTGTCTCTTTCTGGCCAAATTAAAATAAATAAAGTTAAATAAAAATAATTATTTAAAAATAAACACAAGGTCCATGTAAGTATAAAAAGAACCATGGGGTTGATAGGTGGCCTGGTGGTTAAAGGCACTGGACTTCCATACGGCCGACTACGGTCTGAGTCCTGGACCTGGTGGCTTGCTTTCTCGCTTTCTCCCTATCATCTCCTTCCGGTCAAATTAACACACACACACACACTCTCACTCTCTCTCTCTATATATATAAATTAATATAGACACATATATGTATATATATATACTAATAATAAATAAAGTTAAATAAAATAATTTTTTTAAAAAGAGTGTAAAAATATCCAAGTAAGCAGAATGTTTATTATTGGGGGGAAAAAAAAAGGACACTTTAGAACTCTTCTTTGAAACTTAGGATAATAAATTTTAGGAACTGATACCAGTAAATACGGTCCTTTGGCAGCCC